GCAAATACGTACCTGGGGGCACATTTTTGCAAGACGCGAAATACGTACCAATAAGTACATATCACTGCAGTTTCCAAAAAAAATGAACACTAGAGGCAGTAAAACTCCGAAACCTTTTAAATTATTTTCACACAGAGTATGATTTTTACAGTTTCGATTAATAAAGCGTAATTTTCGCACAATTACTTGAAGAGTATTATGTTGTGACTTCAAAAATTTTTTAATATGCTGGGAGATTTGAAAACTGATGCTTTTGAATGTTAGCACCGCACATATCCAGCTTCATATTAATGGGTTTTCATAGACGATAGGTTTGTTCGGTAGCTCACGGAGTACGGAGACGTACTTAAGAGGTGAGGATCTCCCCCGTGTAACTCGTGTAACTACGGTTCGACAAAACAGTTCAAATCTGCATATTAGGAAGTTAAAATGGCACAAAAAATGTGAAAAATGTGTTTTTATATCAGTTTTGCATTTGTTAACACTATCGGGTAGGTTTAGGGTTGGGTTTGGTGTAGGGCATATTTCCAACACGATAGAGCATTATCTTTTAGCGACAGTCCCCGGATATTTGAATTCTGAATCACCGCAATACGTACCTGAAGAAAAGTAATAAAAACACAGCAATACGTACCTATATCAACGTAATAAAAACGTGCCAGGGTTGACGTATTGAACCCGTGTTTTAGCGCCACTCAGTGGACATTTCTCTTTGAAACTGCGGCGAAACGTGCAGTAAAGTACGTAAAAACGGTGTTGCAGAAAAGTACCCCGAGGTACGTATTTTTATGAGACTGGGTTGACTTTTTATAATTTTATATTGGTATTTTATTATAGGCGTATAGGTATTTTTTAACCATGGGGTACACATTCTATTATTAAAGGATGGATATGATGCAGATTACTGAACAACAAAACTGGACATCTAGTGAAATTAGTTAATGATTTTCTGCTATGATTTATAGTTCATGAGTTTACTTACCTTATGAAAGCTTATTCGTCGATTTCAGCAACTTCACACCAGCAACTTCTCATCACCACTATCACCAAATAACTTTGCATGATATACCATCAAGGTTCAATGCCGCTTAAAACAAGATTACCTCTTTCCAACTGTTCGCAGAAAAAATACATGATACAACATTTGTATTTCAGTGGATGTATACTGTGGTGTTTTTATAGCAAAAAAAAAAAAATGTAGAAGGTTTAATTTGGCCATCGAACAATTAAATTAAAATTAGTGCAATATTTTTCTCTGTAATTACTGTGCAATATTGCATCGCATCGGTAGCTACTTCATATGTATCTTCAATGTATCGTATCGTTGGCTATGCATCGAGATGCGTATCGCATCGGCCTCAATTATGGAGATGCACATCCCTAGTGTAAATACAACATTTGTGGGCAGTAAATTAAAGTGGTGCTTTGTTCCCCTCTTGTTCCATGTAGTTACAGTGTAAATACAACATTTGCAGGCTGTAAATTAAAGTGGTGCTTTGTTCCCCGCTTGTTCCATGTAGTTACAGGTTAAGTGGCTACAACAAATTGCTCTGAAATTATTGTTTATACAGTAGGTCATACATACATACATACATTATATATCAGGTAATGTATCAATAAACATGGTGGACTGTTTTATTTAATTCAAATATTGTTAGCAATTTACTATAGGCCTACTGCTGGGTTAAATTAACCCAAAATGGGTTTTAAAATTAAAATCATACACAATATGACAACAGTAACAACACAGGCAACATATAGCCTAATAAAAGATTAAAATGTATTACACCAGTTCAGAAAAAAGCAAAGCAACTCCATATGTATACAGCTTATACAGTTAAACCAAATTCTTTTGAAAAGCTTGTTTAAGAATAAATAGATTTTGTTCAATCTGTTCATGTTTTTCACCCACTGACGAAAGTTGTGAGAACATACTCGGACAAAACCCTCCAGTTTAAAAAGAACACATTCCAGTCAGTTTCAAAAAATTCTCCTCTCCTCTTCATTTCAATTAGTTTTCTTGTATTTTCTACACATATTCCTGTCATGAGAGCCGCAAACACGGATAGACTCGTCTCATGCGCCATTCCGACTGTTTCCAGTTCGCACTCACCACATTCACTGCTGCAGTTTTAAAGGAACACACTCCAGACTGTTTCAAGGTTGTCCCTCATCTGCGCTTCGATTAGTTTTCTCCTATTTTCCACACATGTTCCCGTCTTAAGCACCGCAGTCACGGATTTCGTCGCTCACAGAACCGTTCACCTTTGAACACACGTGTCTTGCTGCATGCTCTCATTCCCATCCTCCACATTCATAACCCAGCAACGTTTGGTTACTTATTACTTATATCGACCCAAATTGGGTCAAATCAAGCCAGCTTCCTAACCCAACAGTCTCAACCAAGCGTTTGGATTGAAACAATTGCCAGTGTGTTTTATATGTGTAGGCTATAAAAAAGCATACAGTGTATGTTTTTGCTAAATCACTTGCAAATATAAGATTGTTGTTAGGTCATACATACCACATACTATTAGAATAGGTACCCCTTAGTTTCAAAATAATATACTTACAGTACAAATAATTTGTAATTTTAGAGATTATTACTCCTTTATTCCCCAAACTTTGCATATTGTTCCCTTATACCTACACGGAGGTACTGAATAGGTACACTGTAATTACAAAAAAGTTACGCTGTAAATTCTGTTTACTTACGCAGTACATTGCGGGTTGTAATCTAAAGCGTCAACATACTATTCTTTATGCTTGTAAGAATATAAACTTGATATTTAAGCTGATTTAGAACTTATCTATTTAATAAACTCTTCCTCAGTCACTTTGAACAAAATATTGACTGCTTTATTTTGTGACGATGGCTCAGCCAGGCTCTTTATTCAGCTCTTTCTGTTGACTTGTGGGTCATTCCACAAAATGGATCCCTTTACTTTTTTGGAAAAAGTGTACATTTGTGGAGGAAGTCTATCTGTATTTTTAAAGGGTAACTGAGTTTACACATTCACAGTTAATTTAGCCACAACTGTCAGATCAATCCCATTTCCTGGGAATTGAACTCATGACCTAACGCCATGCTCTACTGGTTAAATACAGTTTTAGTTAAAAAGAAGTTGCAAAGGTGTATGTAACCCGCACAAGGTTACTGGAGTGCAACTCTCTACTATGCCTGTGGGTGGCGCGTACACCCCAGGGAATTTACTATTAAAAAAAAAACACGCCTTTCCTCCGGTGAAGACGCTACTAGAAAGCAACAAGGACTGGTATGAAAAATATCCTCTGAAGGATAGAAATTCAAAGAAAAATCTCGTACCAAATATTGAAATATGGTGTGTCCATTAGGTTGAAAGCTGTGAGAGAGAGAGTTAAGCCGCATGACAGCGAGCTTCTCAAGATACCTCCGGTAAGGATGCTAATACTAATGTGAGTGTTATGCTGATTGTGCTAGCTCCATTATGGCACGAAATACCGTTCTTTTAAAACCAATCGGAGTTGTGAACCTGATTCTTGCTGTTTGATACCATATAGACACAGATTCAGATTGTTTTATGTTGTTTGAGATGCTCATAAAAGATCGCTAATCGCGTTAGCCGCGTGCTAATCGTTAACATTTAAATGCAAATTTGATTTGGTTTGTTTAGGCTAGCTCAGCTAAGCTAGTCACCACTGTAGCAGATCTTTGATAGTATTCACACCGCTAAAGGTGCCTTCATACTGTTTTGTTGACTTAAAAGTCATTTGATTGAGGGAGTATTTATCCTCTTGTTTTTCATATGTAACATAAGGGTGATTTAGTTCATTTAATTGCCAATATACATGTTTGATATGTATATGAGGAGCAGAAGTTCATCTTAGCTGTTAAAAGAATATATTAAAATGTGATGTTTAAAATGTTATTAAGATGCATAAATAGATTTAAAAGGTTAAAAACATAAATATCTGGTTTCAGAAATCTCATGATTTTATTTCTATACTGTGAGATGGAAGTACATGATTGATTGATTGTTGTTCATTGGAACTGACTTATGTTATGTGGTGTGATGTGTACCTATTCATTTGCATAATGATTAGAGTATTTATATAATTTACAATTGGTTATATTTGATTTGACATTTGAATGGAGAAAAGATGATTAGATTTGAACAGAAATGAGGCAATTGTAATTAATGCATTCTGTACTGTATGTATAGATTGGTTTTAGAAAGGGATAGACCATTTGAATCTGACCCTGGTGGTCAGTGGCGAGCCAACCGCAGAAGTGAACGGACCAAGAGCCTGGTGTGGCCAGCCGTGGCAACTTTGGAACCATCATCATCCTGTGCCTTCAATTGAAATACAGATAAGAACACACGTAAACCTACCCGGGTAGTGAAAAGAACATGCATACTCCAAGAAACACACACACACCAAGAACTTTCTTGGACTCTTTCTTTATTTGAGGTTATTTATTTTGGGTTTATTGTGCGCTGTGCACTCAGGAAGCCGGCTTAGGTAGGCAGGGAATGTAAATAACTGCCATTCATTTTGTATAATACATTTCTCAAATTTACCTGTTTTGTGTTGTCTGTTCTCTGCTGACCTTTTACTATTTCAGGCTCCGTAGTCGTACCTAGAGGTTCTGATATTAGCCCAGCTTTAATTCCTTACTACTTAAATTAGTTATCAGTTACACTAACCTGAGACCCGGGTTACATGTACATTTGGCCCTGACCACATATCCAGTGAAAAGACAAATGTAAACATGTTTGTGATGTATGAATGTAATCCAATCGCGAGGTATATTCAGGACTCGGGACGCATCATGATTGGATCATCATATCCACATTCACACGTCGACATTATACAAACCTCACCCATTATCATTATGTCCCCTTCTATTTCCAAGGGCTTTACCAGAAAATAGACTTGAAGGCTCTTTTGTGCATAGACTAATTTGCAGCTGATTGGTCGTTGCATTCACATGTCTAATTGTGATTGGCTAAAATGCTCAAAGCTGCAAAAACAAAGAAACACATAAATAGAATCCTTTGGCACAGCGGGAGTAGATCAAAATGCTGTGTATGATTAGCCCTAATTCGTGTGTAACTGCAATTGTATATATTTAGATGGTGATCAAATGAGTAATTAGTTGTTGACTGTACAAAAACCAAGGAGTGAGTCAAATATCCTCTTCTTTTGTATGTAGAACTGAATAATCAGTAGTAGAATGACTTTCACCACAGATTCAGGATCTGCAGCTGCTAGTTCAAAAGATCTGTCAACAACAGCATGGGTAGTTTCTGAGAAGTTAATGGAGGAATAAGAAGGCATTTTGTACATAACAGCTTAATAAACAAGTTAACAAGATATTAACTTACAATTTAGATACAGCCAGGTATTTTGTTTGTTTTTGTTCCGTCAACAACAATAGTTCCAAAGAAAGCTACAGCAGAACCGTTGCAGCCCACCAGTGGTGGTGTTCAGTTTCTAAATGATTCCTTTTGTGAAAAAATTGGTTAAATGAATGATTCCATGACTCATTCGTATTGATCGATTCAATGAGATTCAGAAAGACAGTTGTGGTTAAGGCTAGAAGGGATACAGATGCGGCTACTGGGCATGTGCACATCAATATAGCGTAATTTTTGTCACGCTGAACAACAATAATTACTGTAGGTGCATTATTGTAAGGGTTAGGTTTAGAGTGTGTTAATAAAACACACTCTAATAGGTAGAAAATGTAATTTATTGTTAACTTCCGGCCATAGCTGTATACCTGTTTTGTTGCCTAATAAATCAGGGTTTTGGGCGAATCGTTGAGTAAATCAATCAAATGATTCACTCAAAAACCACGTGCCGCCACCTACTGGCTGAACGATATAACCTGCAAAAAAGTCACAGAAAAATCCTCAACGGTTATGCAGACAATGTTTGACACTTCATAATAACTGTTATCAATAACAATGTTATTACACTATTGAATTTTAAAAGATCATTAAATAGTTTCAAATAGTAAGGAATGTCATGAACAATTATTATACTTTTAAAGTGTATTATTAATATATTTAATTTATGTTTATATTTGGATGTTCATAAACTATAAATCTGTTAAGAATTGTATTATTTTTGTTAATAAACAATGAAGTTTATGGTAATAAAAATACTAAACTTGTTTGTAATGTGTCTAATGTTTTGTATCAAATATCAAGTATATCGTATATTTCTATTTTTATTGTATTTATTTAGAATTTTTCAGTGCCTGCTAATTGCATATATACAGTATTTTGTATTATGAAATGTGATAGGATTAAAAAAATAAATATATAAATAAATACTTTATTGCTATATTTTGACTGTACTTGTAAAAACTTTATGGGCCACACAAGCTGTGAAACAAAACTTTAAAGGGATAGTTCACACAAACATTAAAATTATGTCATTAATGTCGTTCCAAACCCGTAAGACATTCATTCATCTTCAGAACACAAATTAAGACATTTTTTGGAGACTGACACTGAAGAATGGAAATAATTTTCATTTTAGGATGAACTTTCCCTGTAAGTGTAGAGCTCTGTGATAAAGTATGGTGGTTAATTATGATGCAACTGACCGTGAATAGCGGTAAACAAGCACCACTATTGTTTAAAAAAAAGTAAATAAAAGGGGGTGGACTTTGTTTTCCCTTTTTTTTTTGTGCATTTGAGTGTAAATACTAATGGTTTCTATTTTATTATTGCACTGTTTATATAATTGTTTTTTACAGTGTACTTACTGAAAACACGGGCCTTTGCTCCGACACATGCTGAAGATTTGAGGCAATTTTTTACACTCTTGCTTGAGCAAATGTTTTATTTCAAGGTTTTTTTGAAAGCTAAAAGAGAAGGAGGATTAGCCATCCATGAAGGTGTAACACAATAAGCAACACAATAATGAAAGGCCACTTTAACGTGGCTGTGGCCCAGCTACACTTCTGTGCATAAATCATTTTACGACATACCTTATTTGAGCTTGTGTCTGAATGACAGCGAGGATGAGAGAGAAAGCGACAAAAAGAGAATACACGTGGGCTCTCTCTTAAACAAAAGGTAGAAAACGCCTTTGATTCAGAACAAACCTGTCTAATGAAATGATAAGCACTCATTTGACAGTGCACATTCACAGCCTCGTCGGTTTTTATTTAAAATTGCGCTTTGAACCATGTGCAAGTGCTTCCACCCAGTAAATAATAGGCCTACTATGTATTATAAGGATGTGAAATGTAATACTTCAGCCACTTGTGAAATACAAAAGATATGACAATATGTTTAAATCACAACATTTTCACTGGGAAACTAATTAGCGGTACTTAGCGAAATGAAAGTAATATAAAAAGTGGCAGGTAAGATATTCGCAAAAGAGCAACTCCTTGCCTCTCATATATTCTTTCTCTTCATTGATCCACGGGGATTCTCCTGCACAGCTAACAGACTAGCATAGAAGTTTGATGGCTAAATAACAAAAAAAAACAAAAAACAGTGGCTCCGGTCCAAAGCCTAGAGCTGTCTATTCATACACATACTGTTTAAGGTAGAATTATAACTGAAATAGAGCCACACTAGCAATGTTTAGAGTGCACTACATAGGCAGCAACCCTCACTCACATTTGACAACAAAGGAGTTTAGAATTAGCATGTTGTCCCTTTAAAACATCTTAAAGCAACTTAAGGTGGTTAGCTAGTATTCAAGCCTGATAAAGCTGGTTAATCTAGCTTGTTTTGGTGGCTTTAGAGGGGTTTTGAATGCTTGAGAACAGTTGGCCGACTAGTGAAAACAATAACTTAGCCAGGCCTGGAGAGCAACTAACGATTCTCTTGTTCATACAAATGATCTCTTGCTTTTTCTTATTTGTTCTTAGATAATCCGAAACAGATGAACATGAATGTGGCAACATTTTATTATGTTGGTTTTTGTACATATCATGTCAAAAAAGCTAATGCTATGTCGTGTTTAAAAAATAATGTACCACCAACGCTAAACCTTACCTTAAACATAACCAATAATCTTAAATCTCTTTTATCGTGATTCATGTTTTATGGACCCATAGGCTCAGTAAGTGCAAGTGCAATGTACCAGGTGAGCTTCCAAGCAAGTTTACTATGTTAGAAAAGCCACTCATATGGAGCTAATGATGTGACACAATCGTGAATTTGTATTCATTTAAAAATCATGCACTATGTTTGTTATGTCATAACAATAATAAAAAATGTATCGCAAAAATCTTTATTAATCAATAATCTGCCCCTTTAATCATGATTTTTGTAAAAATAAATAAAGTTGTTGGTGTTTTACTGCCACCAGTGTACATTTAAGCTGGAAACTGCAGTGAATGGTAAATATATTTTTGGAATTTTGCAAAAATGTAGGTAGAGATATGTTTTATTCCAATGTGTAACTGCCATAATATTGGACAAACAAGGTATCTTACCTTTTGAAACAAACTTCATCAGGGCACAATGATGCCTTAAAATGCTGCCTACATAGGCAGCTCACTAGGTTTTGGAACACAGCCAACGTGTGACATTTGTTAAAGACTCTCGTCTCAAAACAAAGCAGTCTCATACTCCCAAATAGGCCCTTGATATGTTATCTAAAAACCCCTTGAGTTAACAAATGAGGCTTTAATTGAATTATGCATGTTAGGAGAGCAAGAGGGGCTGAGAAACAAGGATAGGGAGGGAGATCAGAACGTCAAATGGTATCTTCCATCATGGATGCTCGTGTTTGATGGGCAGGTGCGATTCGATGACTCCCATTTCGTTGCCTCAGGCTGGCCATTGGCACTCCATTCTACAGCCTGTGAAATTTCTTGTTACGGTCTGCACATGGCACTTACATCACACAACTCTCTGCAGGAGAACACATGCTCCAGCCCCAATACATCAGCCTCTCTTGATTATTTGCTCATACCGAGATGTTTTAATGCTGGGTTTTCTTTAAATGTCTCAGTTATATGGCAGGTGGGGAATGGGATATGCTGCTCCTCAGAGTAATCAGTATAGCATTACTATAACAATAAAATATACCAAGGGTCATTTTCTGAAGAACACATGGTTTCTATTCATAATATCCTGATTCATACACAATTTAAAGCCTTTAAAAAATGAATAGCATAATAATAATAATAATAATAATAATATATTTTACAAGCAATAGTAATGAAAAATCAAAATTCAATAATCAAATATCAATTTCTGAAGAACAGAAAATAAATATTTGTAACATTCTAAATTAATTTACACAATTTAATTCCTTTAAAAAAATAATGTGTTTAATATTCTTGTAATTAAAAAAAAAAAGAAAAGAATGGACAGCATAAACACATTAATTTTTTTTTATACAAATAACAACAACAAGTAATGGGGATGCTTGCCTTAGCAAATACCACTAAAGATAATTCAAATTAAAAACTACAATTTCTGAAGAATATATGATTAATATTGGTAATATTCTTCTTCATTTACAGAATTCAGAGCCTTTAAAAATATGTTGTGAAGAGACGTCGGCTCTCCCATAAAGGAAAAAAAGGTAGAAAAGGCTTTTGATTCAGAACAAACCTGTCTAATGAAATGATAAGCACTCATTTGACAGTGCACATTCACAGCCTCGTCGGTTTTTATTTAAAATTGCGCTTTGAACCATGTGCAAGTGCTTCCACCCAGTAAATAATAGGCCTACTATGTATTATAAGGATGTGAAATGTAATACTTCAGCCACTTGTGAAATACAAAAGATATGACAATATGTTTAAATCACAACATTTTCACTGGGAAACTAATTAGCGGTACTTAGCGAAATGAAAGTAATATAAAAAGTGGCAGGGAAGATATTCGCAAAAGAGAAACTCCTTGCCTCTCATATATTCTTTCTCTTCATTGATCCACGGGGATTCTCCTGCACAGCTAACAGACTAGCATAGAAGTTTGATGGCTAAATAACAAAAAAAAACAAAAAACAGTGGCTCCGGTCCAAAGCCTAGAGCTGTCTATTCATACACATACTGTTTAAGGTAGAATTATAACTGAAATAGAGCCACACTAGCAATGTTTA